GACCCCAGGGCTCCCAGCTGGCCCCCTCCCCTTGCCAGCCCTGGCCGTGGGCCACAAGGGTCCCACTGCCACCCATCCTCCCACCAGCACAATTCTGGCAGCTCTGTGCCACTGGCACCTCTGGGGAGTGTTAGGGCAGGGGGGCGGTGGGCACAGCCCCCAAGGGATGGTCGAGAAGGTGACCTGTGATGAGCCATCGAGGCCACAGTGCAGCCAAGCTGGTCCCAGCCCACAACCAGGGCTGGACTGAGTCACCCACCCCTGGACCCAGCCCTGCACACGGCATCCCGAGGGAGCGGGGCAGGAGGGTGCCCAGGGATGGTGCTCCCATGCCCTCCAATAAAATTCCTTCCCAGCAGAGGCCTGACAGCCCCGCTGTGCTAACGAGGGCACCGTGCCCAACTCCAGCATGCGGCAGCCGTTCATCTTATCTCTTTACTCACGATACAACCGTCCTCCTGGTGCCGGCGCATCGCCCGGCACGATCGGCGCCGTGCCCCGATGCAGCTAAAACGTCCCCCCAAGTACTCCCTACGAAACTAGAGCTTTTCTGTTCAGTTTTGTTTAAATCTGCAGCATTAAAAAAAAATTAATAATAACAGGAAGGGGAAGGGGTGTGAGGAAAGGAGGTGTCCGACCAGGGGGTGGTGCGTGGCCTGGTGGCACGGTGGGATGCCTGAGCCTCGGCCAGATCCTCAGCCAGTGCTGGTGCCACAGCGAGGCAAACGGGCTCCCCCAGGGTGCTCCCCTGCAGCAGGGTCCTGCCAGCACCTGACCGGCTTCCCTGCCTGCACTGCCAGTGCTGGCTCAGCAGGGGAAGACACAGCCTGGCATTCCTGCCCAGCACCAGCTTTGGTCCTGCTGAGCACCCACTGTCCTCCCTCACCTGCCCCAGGGCTGAGCCGGCACCGGGGCCAGGAGCCGGGGCCGGGGGGGCCGGAGGGGCCAGAGGGGAACGTTCATCAAATGGGCTGCCAGGTCTTGTCGATGGTCTGAATGTGCTCCTTGGCTTTCATGCGGAGCGAGGCGATGCTGGAGCTCCTCTGGTCCACCTCCTCCAGCGGGTACTTGTCCACAAAGGGGGTGCCGCACTGGTAGGGCGCGGGGGCCATGGGCTGCATGCCCTGCGCCATCGGTGCGGGGGTGTTGAGGAAGGAGTGCCCCCCGTAGGGGGGCTGCAGGGCCTGGGGGGCTCCCATGAAGCCGGGGATGCTGTGGACTGTGGTGGCGCTGGAGATGGGGGATGTCAGCCACGGGTCGAGCGGGAGGGAGTTGCTCATGGGCCCCACGTTGGGGGTCATGGGGGGCCGGTTGAAGGAGAGCACGGGGGTGTCGTGGAGCTTCATGGAGCTGGCCTCCATCTTCTCCTGCCGCCTCCACTTGGCTCGTCGGTTCTGGAACCAGACCTGCAGGGTGAGAGCCAGGGTGAGCTCCACCGTGCCCAGCTGGTCCCTTGCAGTGTGCCCCACATGCTGTACCCCATGCTCTGCCCCACAGGGAGTGCTTCAGCATCATGTGTGGGGTACCCCATTGCACATGGGCTGCCCTCCAGAGCTCCGGCAATCCCGGCACACCACACACCTCTGCCAAAGCTCTCCCACAAGCCCCAGAGACCAAGGACATCTCTGAGGTACAGAAAGCAAGAGGCATCAGCACACAGCCCCTACTCTCACTGCTCCATGGAAATGTGCACCCTGGCCCTGCAGACACCCAGCAGCCCTCGGGGTAGTGTTATCCGACCTTCCCAACCCCTGGCTCAAAGCTTCTAGACGTTAAAATGCCATAGTTACACCAAAATCCAGCAGGAACGACAGGGACTAGTGAGCCAAATCCAGCAGTGACATCTGGCCCTGTGGGAACAGCTCATTGGAGTGCTGGTCCCCATGTCCCCAGAGTAGCAGCACAGGGTCTGCTGTGAGAGGCAAAGGGGGAGGAAAGATGAACAGCTGGGCGGGGAAGGGGATGGGGCACAAGTCTGATGAGGAGCAGCTGAGGGAGCTGGGGGAGCTCAGCCTGGAGAAAAGGAGGCTCAGGAGGGACCTTCTCACTCTCCACAACTCCCTGACAGGAGGGTGGAGCCAGGTGGGGGTCGGGCAGGACAAGAGGACAGGACAAGAGGAAACGGCCTCAAGCTGCGCCAGGAGAGATTTTGGTTGGATATCAGGAGAAACTTATTCCCCAAAAATGTTGTCCAGGGCTGGCACAGGGTGACCAGGGCAGTTGGTGGAGTCACCAGCCCTGGAGGGATTTAAAAGCCGTGTGGATCTGGCTCTTGGGGACATGGGTGGCCTTGGGGCCATGGGGACAGTGGTGGCCTTGGCCGTGCTGGAGGAACAGTTGGCTCGATGGTCTTGGAGGGCTTTTCCAACCTGAGTGATTCTGTGATTCTATGAAACTGGTCATTGCTCAGAGAGCTCAGCAGAGGTGTCCTTATAGTCTGGACACCCCCCAAAAAAAGGCTGCCTTGTCTTAGACTGGGGCTGAGGCCTGGGGATCTCAGTTCGTCTGTGCGGGGGTTACTGCTTTGCTTTGCAGGGGTTTTGTCTCCTTCAGCACACTGGCCCTTTCCCTCTCCCTGATCTCACCATGTCAGTCCAGGGATGGTGGGGACCATACTGGTGGAACCCTGGGCTCTTCTCAGGCCGTGCTGTTCCCCCATGAGCCTTTTCCTGCAGCCCAGGGAGCGAGACCTCCCCAGCCCCACTGCCCCCCCTGCTCCAACAAGCTTATAACCCCCAAATCTGTGAGGATCTTGTGCTTTCCCAGCCTGAAAGACCTGGGAGTGACCTCAATCAGCCGAGGTTTGGCTGCTTTCCCACGTGAACAGCAGGAGGGATGGGAGCAGCCCACACCAGAAGGGGAAAAAACAATCTCTAAAAACCATCTCCCTGCCCAAACGGAGGCTGTGGCCTGTGGGCCAAACTGGGACCCCACAGGCCAAACTGGGACCCCATGGGGGAAACAGGCTCAGCCATCAAACCCTTTCCCTGGCTTTGTCAGGAGCAGCTCTGCAGAGGTTGCTGCACCCACCTCGAGCAGTGGGGAGACTGAGGCCCGGAGGGAGGTGGCGGCGGTGGGGCCGAGAGCGGAGCGGAGCTCTCCAGCACCGGGGGTCCCTCTGACCCGGCCCAGGGACAGGCCCGGGGGGCTGGGGCCACGGGTGCCCTCCCTACCTGCACGCGGACCTCTGGCAGGTTGACCTTCATGGCCAGCTCCTCGCGGCTGTACACGTC